ATATATATATATATATATATATATAACATTAAATATAAAGAATATTTTATTCATTTACTCAATGATTTAAAAAGAGATAAAAAGAGAGGATATTGATTGGAAATATATTAAAATTTCAAACAAAATTTTCATCAATTTATCGATTGTTGAGAAGAGATATGCATTATTATAATAAACAGCATAAACAAAAGCAAAATTAAATTAATTTTTCTTACATAATATATATATATATATAAATCATACGATAAGAAAATAAAAGCTTAGACTTATAAATTATAATTCTATAAATGAAAAGAATTTTTATAAATTGTCTTAACCTATTTATTTATATGATGAAGATTTACATATTGAAGTGAAGTTTGCACAGAGATATTGATTGTTTCTTAGGAAAAGCGATTAATAGAAAATTTATTAAAAGAAGTTAAAAACAACGTGTTTCAATATGTTATAAAAGAAACGTAAAATTTTGAAAAATATCAATAAAACCGAATAATAACACGATCTTGATTTTTAATAATCTATTTTGATATAATTGGGATAATGATAAGATGATAAAATAAATATAAAAATAAAGCGTTCAAATTCAAAATAGATTTTGAATATATATTTTATAGTATAGTAAAAAAAAAAAAACTAAATAAAACTATCAAATATCGATATAATAAATATATAGCTCGATCGATCCATTGATCTTAGTAAAGACAGATGAATGAACGTGATTGTCCTTGAGTATCGATATACATACTTATTTCCGGTAGATTATCTTTGTAACTAAATAAAATGATAAATTTATTCGATTAAAGATAGAATGCAATTATTACGAGATAAATAAATAGAAAAAGAATGTATGTCATTGATTTTTTTAATTTTCTCTATTAGCAATAAACATATATTTCACTAAATGCAATACCGTAAAAGATCACGAGGTAGTATGAATCATTTCAAAAAACAATTAACATCGAGGTGTTCACAAAACAACTATTCCCTTTGTTCGTGATTGTACAATCGTGCGTATCGTTACCAATCACTTGTAAAAGAGATTTCCAGGTCTATAAGTAATTTGTTTAAATTTAACGCATAATCTGAATCTAGGGAAAAAAGAGTTTATTAGTCATTGAAAAGATTTATACCGAGCAAATCGTTTACTTTGATAATCAATGGCTGTTTTGTGAATCTTTGAAAGTACTACTGTAACGAGTGACGCAAGAATGTATCATCGTGTTTGTAGAAACAAAAATGTTTGCTTCTATAATGCATTATACATTTATGTAACAAATGAAAGCATATTGCGCTTTAAATCGTAGACGATACGAAATGGAAACGAAATCGATTTCAAAATTTTTAGTCTCACGAATTTTTGTCAGAATATTCATCGATTGTTGAAATATTTAAAAATATCAATGAAAATCATAAATATTTTTCGAGACGTATTTACTGAACCTACATATTGCTTACGTAATAACAAAATAACTAATTAGGTTGCAAAGACGATTAACATTAGCAAAAGCAGAAAGATCTATCATCGGTTGAAAGGACGAAAATGAAAGAGAAGGAAAAGTATAGAGAGGAGAATAAGAGAGGAAATCGACAGGAATAGTGATAAAGAAGATGAAAAGTTAACGAAGAAGCAAAGCAATGGTTAGAAAGAAAAGACAAAACGATCTAAACGCATGGCATGTGTATGTATACGTATATGT